AAGGGCATGTTTTTTCTCTGTATGAATAAGTAGTAGAAAATAGTTTGCAGTAAAAGAGCACTGATGTGTTTTTGTAGGTTACAAAGATCAGTCTTTTTCCTAGTAGAATCAGTGGTGGTTGTTGAGCATTTTTTAACTTAGATTAAGAAAATGATAGGATTTGTGCTGAGATAAGAGACAGTAGCTATGCTTTTACAGTGCTTAGAGTTAAATACTTAACCATGTAATAGTTCTGATCTCAGATGCAACAATCACTCTTAAAACAGCTTTGAAAGTGTGCTGTGTAATCATATCAAACTTTCTATGGGAAGACTAATTTCATTTTTAATGGCATATAAATAAAACTAGGATACTTAAAATAAGTCCAAATGTGTTTATATCCCATTTAATTTATGGTATGTGGTGAATCATGGCTGCAGGGCAGTGACATTTAACGGTGTGTTTTGTTTCTTTAAGCTGTTGCAACTTGATCACATTTCCATAGTTTATCTCCTACCCATAGAAAGTATTTCCTTCTGCTTGAATAACTCCATAATTACAAGAACAAAATTTTAATGTATCCAGTATTAAGGTTAAAGGTATATCAAAGTGATTTAGTAATTAATCAAATTTTAGAAATTGAATCAAGGTATCTTTATGAAAAATATATGAGCATTGTCCACATTTAAAAGATTGACAGAGAAGTTGCAGAAAGAATAAATGTATTGCTGGTGTTGAGTTAAACAGTACTGAAGCAGGAAGTACATGCTAGTTCTTTTGATACACATTCAGTCAAAATACACTTTCTTGACTTAAATTGTTGAGAGACTGATTTGGATGTTCATTATGGTTTTCCTAATAGGAGGAGAAAAAAAAATGAATGATACCTTAACAGAAATGTTTGATCGGACAACCCATGAAGAGTATGAATCCTGCCTACCAGAAGATAGTCCTCTTGCATGTGATGAAAAAGAAACTCTTCATGATGAAGAGCAGGATAAGGGAGTAACAGCAGCAAGCAAGAAACTAAAGAGTGGGATATAATTTGTTTTGTCTTTATTAGCCTGGTTAAACTACAGTAGCTGATTTGAAATAAGGCTCTGTTCTCTAGGAACAAATATGCCAAATAAACCATGAGTTCATTTTTCATAAATTCATGGAAAAAATTATTCATTGTAAGGACATAACCAGTATGAAAATTATTTTGGCAGTTCATTTATATAGCCACCACATAAACATGGGATGTGTAATGGAAGTTGGCATAGAAGCTGTGACTCTTACAGAAAACAGCAGGTTTTGGCTGTAGATTACTTGCTTCTTTTCTTCTCCTTATCCTAGGTTCGATCGAAGGTTTTGCAGTATCTTGTATTTTAAGCAACCTTTCCTTTGCTATTTTGCTTATCTTTTTTTACTTGTCTTGCTCCTGTTTTCCTTCTATTCCAGTAATGCTTTTGATCACTGGTTCAATCAATTCTATATTATTTTTAGTATCTGTCTGAATCTGTTTTGTCAGACTGAATGTACATGGCATTTTTGTATTTCTTAATAGCTTAATAGCTTCTTTTGTATTTCTAAAAGCTGGCTAATAATTTTACAGACATTTCTCCAGGCAGTCTGTTAACCTCATTTGACATGTAACTTTTTGTTTTGCATGTATATTTACAGAACATGAGGATAAACAAGATAAAGCCAAACAGAAAGCTTTTGTGGAGCCATATTTCAAAAGTGACGAACGGTAATTTCATTTGTACTGTACAGGCATTTTAAGGCTCTTTATATCCTCCCTATGGGGAACTTATTCTTCATAAAATAAATGTGTTTGTGCATAATGTACTAGCAGCTGAAGATGCACCAGTAAAAGATCTAGTGAATTGGATAAAAGCCTTAGATAAAAGCTGGGGTAGGGGGTAAAAATAAACACATTGAGATGCCCATCTATCACATTTGCTGAAGAGGAAGGATTGCCTCTTCTGTGTCTTATAATTTTATTGAATGCAGTATTTTATAATCTGTGTTTTTTTCTTATAGGCATGTGGTTATGCATCAGTTTGAGCAAAGAGCCTATGGGTTGCTTGTACAAATAAAAACCTTTCCCTCTCTGGCATTTTTGCCCCTTCCTCTAGGCAATAAATGAGTAATGTTTAACAACTTAGTACCTCTTTGTGCTTCCTTTATTGCCTTTCTGTAGTCTAGCATTGGTAGTCTGAGTCTTCATTTCATAATAATACCAACCCCTTCAGTTAAATAGTTGTTAGCTTATTTTTTTACCTCAGCATATGTTTTCTTTATTTGGTGTTTTGTGAGCAGATAAGTTAAAAATAATATGTTAGTTCTGTTCTTGAACCCTAACATATGTTCCTCTTGCAGAAATCAGTGCAAAATACAACTGTGTCACGGTCAAAATAAATATTCTACAGAAGATCTATATTTGAGTAATTTTGATCTAGTAATTACTTTCACACTATGAAAAGCCATAATGAGGAGATGCACATCTCTGGTTATGTAAAAGATCATATTACATTTTAAAAAATCCTGGAACTGTTCCAGTTACAAAAATAGTCCTATTCAGCTATAAATTTCAGTATGATTAGATTTTGCAGGTATTTTCTGATATTTTTTCTTTTCTTGAGACTCTCCTTCATTGTGTTCCAAAAAACAAAAATTTCCAGACATGCAGGAGAAATAAATGTGCTATCATGTGAAAATGTTTTTGTTTTTCAGAAAGAAGACTGTGTTAGATTTTCCTCATATTGAGGTTATTCGAAAAAAAGAAGAAAGAAGAAAATTGCCTGGCCATACTTGTAAGGAATGTGAAATAGTAAGTAGTGCTTTAAAATTTAGTCAGTCTTGCATTCTTCTAATTCTGCTAGTATTGAAGTGCTAAAGTGTTGTTGAAATTATGAATCTGGTTGCATCATCATCAGTACCTGCAGTAGCAGAGAAGTGTTTTCCAAAGCTGTTTTATGAAGTTTTGGGTTGGTTGGTTTGTTTTTAACTGTAGTAACTGCATCTAACTTAGTCTTAATTTTTTTGTGTGTATCTGTATGAGGATAGAATCTTCTCACATCACGGTGCCAGTAAGATTTTTGTTAATAAATACATTAGCTAGTCAAAGAACAATTACAAGTTTCTAAACTTTAGCTCAAAAGCTCTACTGGAATTTACAGATACCAGAATAAGTAAGTTCTATGTCCTGTTGTATCTATAAATAGATATATCTTGATATTTTTTTCCTTGTTTTCTGAGGTGTCTGTATTTTCAGATAATGGCACCGGCATAGGTGCCAATGTGTATATATGTGCAAATGCACATAAAAATGTTTACATTACAAGGTTAAAAAGTATGAAATTTTAGATTTCATGTTATACTTTTTTCCTCCCTTTCAAATTACTAAACTGCTTTCAGATACTTGGTATAGAGATGAAATATTGAAGTAATTGCATGTGTAATAAAGACATATTTCATTTGGTCATTAATAGATTTTTCAGGCTAACGTTAATTAGGCAATGATTTTATAAATTATAACTCACCAGAAGTGTGGATTAATAACTGAATAATGATGGATTCTCTGGAGTCTTTTCACTTCATTTCCACACCTATATAGAACTAATATTTTTCACAGATTCTCCTGCTATTCATTTTGTAGTTAAGTCATGTTTACTTAGCTGAAGAAATTTATTAGACTATATTTTTAACAAAAACACATTCCTGAAAAATAGCTTTGGTAAAACTCATTAAATACAAATAATTAAGCTTTACAGTCAACTATTTTCAAAAATATGTTTGATTTAAAGAGTTTGAAAGAAAACAAAATGTTGGTAAAAAAACCCAAAACAAAACCAAAAAACTCCCTGACTTTCTGACTATTTCTTGGCCCAAGAGACATCTGTTAAGTGTTTTAATTTCCTGTCTCTGCAAGCTACAGATCTTCTCTCTCAGCAAATCCAGTTCTTGTTACTTTCTGGCAAGCTAGAGTGGTAACTATGGTCTTTGGAAACATTTACAGCTCCAATTTTACAATGTTAGGTTTCTGCATTAAACTTTAGAAAAGTTTGGGTTTGTTGGGTTTTTTTGTTGTGGGTTTTTTTTGAGGTCTACCCATTCAAGATGAATATCTTGGAATGTGTGGAATGCTTGGCTGTGTCATTGCACCATAATAAAACTAGCTTTGAATGAAATGCCTGTGGAAGAAGGGAGTATTAGACTAAGCGTCAATGATGCTTTAAAAAAGTCTTGGCTTACTTATTAATCATACAGGTTTGAAAAGTCTCCAGAGTCTAAGGAAATACTTAAGGAGTGGGTAGAAATCAGTAAATTGTTTCTGGTCATGTGCTGCATGCAGTATGAGAGCGGGGAGAGTTATCTGTCATTTTGAGAGGATGTGAGAGATTTAACTTCTGCATATGCCATAGAAGACTGATATTGAAGTCCTTTATAAGTCCTTATCTTAGAACTTTGCGGAAGCATCTCATTCACTTTACAGCATAAAACATGTGATAAGAGGTCTTTTTTTTGGTTTGTTATGACTTTGGGATGCAATCAGAGAAAGATTCTATGCAGGATTTACTGGTAGCTTGTAAAAGTAGCATTTGTTAGTGTGGTTATTAAGTCTAGCTATGCTTTAGATAAGTAGGAGAATGTCAGATGTTTTTATATATATTTAGATTACAGAAATTACTCTTTAACTAACTTTGTGCTGAACTAATGAGAAATGTTTTGAGGGTTTGTTCTCTTTTTTCAGACCGCAAGTTGTAGAGTTCTGTAAACAATTCTGTTACAGTGAAGATACTGCAGGATGAGATTTTGCATATCTTTTCATACATGGAAAAGCCTAGCTCAAATTTTTTGTGTGGGTTGAACATGCTGTGGATAGTGAGATCAATCTAGAAAACAGCTGAGAGTTCTTTTTCCTGTTTAGCAGACGTATCATGTAACTTTCTCATTCTTTGTAAACTCTAATAGATTTCTAAACAAGCAAAAAGAAAAAACTTACTTTCTAATTTCTTTTGAATACATAGTTAGCTTGATTATTCATTGGTCTTTATTTTCTGTTCCTACAAAACTGTACTGTATTTTTCATTGTTTGTTCCATAAATATTCCTCACCAATCATAAACACTTTAATTAAAAAAAACATGCAGCACGATGCAAACTTTTGGTAGGCTGATTTCTAAAATTCCAGGCTATTTAAAGGACAAACATAAGGTGCACTGCTAATTATCCCTAATAGATAGCTATCCCTAAAAGACTCAGATATTAATCTATTTGGTTTACATAGGTACTGTAGAATTCTTATAATTAATTTTGTTGACTTAATACCATTTCATTTCTTAACTTTTATCAGTGAAAATTGATATGTACTAGATAACTACCTGTTCCTCTTCTTTCATTAGTCTCTAGATCTTTAACTGAGTGGCAGACATTTTTCCAGTTGGGTCTCTGAAGTCCAACTGCACGAGTGACCCTACTCTATCTGACTCAATCCCCAAGCTACTGATAGCCACTTAAGTTCTGGTCTTGGCATAGGTTTTTTCCCTGTTTAAGGGAACGTTGTGTAAGACAGTGGCAAATATTTTCAAACTAAATATCCCCAAATTTAGTGACCGAAAGGGGTTCTGTTGTCAAGAGTGTGGGAGTATACTGGGCTTATACACAATATGTTTTAAAGAACCTTTTACTAGGGGCTGATAACCAATACTATCTTTGAAACTGGAAATTTATTCTATCCTGCGTACCAGGACTTTGTAGCAGACAGACCAGGAATCTGAAATTTTGGGTACAACCTGCTAACAACCTGAATCTCTGTTTTTGACCAGGAGACTCACATCTTACTAAATCAGATTCCTGTGCTAATAAGGGCATTGAAAGCAGAATATGTTCAGGTGTCACGTTTTGTAGAATGGCAAGAAATCTGAATTGATTTTTGGGGGAAAGAAAATGTACCTCAGTTTCAGGCAGAGTCATAGTTCCTACGGACTACAGAATCACAAAATGAAACAAGTCTACTTTTCCTAGTTCATGTAGTTTTGTCACTGACATTTTCAGAGCTGTGATTACTCTTTTTCTATACAATCATCAATATTTTATGTCATGATTTTTTGGAGGAGGATTTTTATGCCTATTTTATACTTTGTCTGCCATCTAGTAGGAAAAAAAGGAATGTATCAGTGTACTTCTATTCCAAGTAAGTACATGTGCTGAAATCCTACCAGTAGATGGAGACAGGAAGTAATCTCTATTGCCAGAGGTATTCTGTTCCTTTCCTGATTTTCCTAGTCTAAATCACTTTCCAGGTGATTGAATGAGGTTTTAAACCTTAGTTTGCTGGTTTGAATTGTAACACTTTCATTTCAGTAGAATTGTTTCACCACTTTTAGGAGGGTCCTTGTGCAATCCAAACAGTGACTGTTGGCTTGCTACTTGAATCAAACAGTGCATTCGCTTTGAAAATATTTTAGTACTCTATGATATCTAAGTGCCAGATTGCTATTTTTAGGAGATGCTGATTAGAATCACAACCTAAACCAGTAGAAAACTGCATGAAAAAACCCTTATCTTTCTATGATGCTACTCATGGGCACACCAACCAAAAACTTTGGGGAGTGTATATACTTCTCTCATTGCAGCCCCCAGTACAGCTGACAGGGATGACAGAGTAGCTAGCCAATTTGGTATATATGCTAGAGAATCCCCAGCTGGCAGATAGTTTCTGGAGTCCCAGTGTCAGTCAGCTAGTTAAATTAGCTCTTTATTTACTCCTTATTTGAGGGTAATAGGGTAATAAAATAGGAAACATTTTAACTTAAGTTTGCTGTTAGTACTGTAAATTTAGACACTGGAAATAATTCTGCAGCATGGATTTTTTTTAGTGCTTTTTTAAATTTTCTACTTTATTTGTAAATGTGAGCCGAAACTTAGTTTATTAGAAAATTCCCATCTATTTCCACACCTGTGTTCCTTAGCTTTGTAAAATCAGTCAGTAAAACTGTTGTCATAAGTAATTGTACACATACCTAAACCTTGTACCTATGGTATGTTAAAAGATACAAAGCTAACAAACTTGCCACCATAAGGTTATACTTAATCTGTAAATTCAGTAAGCTTTTAGGATAATGGCCAGGTGTTTGTCATTTGGATGACAAATCTCTGCTCTTGGCTATCCTCACCATTAATTTTAGATAACTCTATTAATAAACAGTGATTGACAGTGTCATTGTGTAAAGTAGTTGCTCTATATGTATGAATTCGTTAACTTGGATTTCTTATTTTTTTCCCTAACATTCAGTATTATGCAGACATTCCAGAAGAAGAGAGAGAAAAGAAACTAGCTTCCTGTTCAAGACACAGATTTCGCTACATTCCTCCAAATACTCCTGAAAACTTCTGGGAGGTTGGATTTCCTTCTACCCAAACTTGTGTGGAAAGAGGTTTGTGCAAAAACAGCTTACAAAGCACTTTTTAAAGCTGATTTATTCCCCCCCCCCCCCAAACTGTTTCCCT